TGGGGGACCAGAATTTTTACTCAGGGACACAAACCCGTTACTCAGGGACACAAAAACGTTATTTCCGGGGACACAGAATTTTTTATCCAGGGAACAAAAATTTTTTCAGGGACCACAGAATCTTTTCCCCAGGGCCACAAAAACTTTAAACCTGGGGGAAACACAAAAGGGTTACTCAGGGGACACAAAATGGGAAACTGGGGGCCACAAAAATTTTGGTTACTCAGGGACACAGAAAGGTTACCCCAGGGACACAGAATCGTTACTCAGGGACACAGAATTGTTACTCAGGGACCCCAGAATCGTTATTTCAGGGAAAACAAAATCGTTACCAGGACAAAAAAATTGTTATTTTGGGGGGACACAGAATGTTACTCGGGGACCAAAAATTGTTACTCAGGGAAAACAAAATGTTACCAGGACACAGAACCCGTTACTAAAGGAAAACAAAATTTCGTTACTCGGGGAACACAAAATCGTTACCAGGGCCCACAGAATTGTTACTCAGGGACAACAGAATTGTTACTGAGGGACACAAAAACGTTACTCAGGGAAAAAGAATCGTACCCAGGACCAGAATCTTTTACTGGGGACACAGAATTGTTACCCCGGGACACAGAATCGTTACGAGGGCCCCAAAATTTCGTTACGAGGACACAAAAACCTTACTCAGGGACACGGGAATCGTTACTCAGGGGACAAAAAGAATTTTTAACCCCAGGGAAAACAAATTGTTACTCGGGAAACACAGAATCGTTACTGAGGGCCCACAGAACCCCGTTACTGGGGGACACAAAAATCTTTAACCCCAGGGACACAGAATTTTTTACCCCAGGGACACAGAATCGTTCTCAGGGAAACAGAATCGTTACTCGGGGACAGACAAAAAAATTTTTACTCGGGGACACAAAAATTTGGTTAAACTCAGGGAAAACGAAATCTTTAAACTCGGGGGACACAGAACGTTCCCTCAGGCCACAGAATCTTACCAGGGACACAAAAATTGTTACCAGGACACAAAAATCTTTACTCGGGGGCCAACAAATCTTACTCAGGGACACAAAATTTTACTCCGGGAAACACAAAAACGTTTACTCGGGGACACAGAATTGTTACCAGGGACACAAAAATCGTTACTCAGGGGGGGCACAGAACCTTTTACTCAGGGACACAGAAATTTTACTGGGGGCCCACAAATCGTTACTCAGGGACACAGAATCTTTTACTCGGGGACACAAAAATCGTTACTGGGGGACACAAAATTGTTACAAAAGGGACACAGAACCCGTTACTCAGGGACACAGAATTGTTACTCAGGGGACACAGAATGTTACCGGGGAAAACAAAAATGGGTTTACTCGGGGAAAAACACAGAATCGTTATTTAAACGGACACAGAATGGGTTTTTTTCTGCTTCAAAACCCACTTTTGTACTTTTCAAAAAGAGAAAAAACCCTGTTTTATTTTTGGGGGTGTTTAAATTGAATTAAAAAAAAAATTTTCAGACAACACCAGAGGAGGGGGCCAGGGGAGGCAATGTTTCAGGAGCAAAGCGACGTGGCAGCAGGGGAAAGGGGGAAAAGGAAAGCACTATCCCCAGCCGAGGCCAGACCCCGGTGTCATCCAGGGGTCGTGTCTCCCCCCCGACAACCCTGGCCGTCATCAGATTGGTTGACTCGGTCGTCTTTCCTCTTTCCCAGGTCACTCTTCTCACATCCTACAGCCAACGGTCGGTGGGTACGTCAGACACAACCGTATAGTTGCATGGCCTGGGAGCAAGCCCCTGAAATCACGTGTTCCTCTCACCTGCCCCTGTCCTTTGGTGTTCCCATCACCAAGCGAAGTATCGCATTCTGTGGGCTCAGCCCCACTGTACAGTGAGGAAGAGCCTAACAGAGGGCGGTCAGGAACGGGGGAGACATCCGCCTCTTCAGCAGCCAGGTGGAAGAAGTACTGGTGAGGAGAGTTGCTCGGTAGCCGGTCTAGAGACCAGGTCTGTCTCTGACCCGCATCACGCAGCCGAGGGGGCTAGTAGTGACTAGCGGAGACTCCTAATTGAGTATGATGATGATGCCAGTATCCGCACTTGGCAGCCTCGACGTCACAGGCTATTGCTTTCCGCATCATCAGGAGAAGAGGGTTTCAGCTTGGGCAGTCGAGCAAAAACAAGTCGGTGGGTTGCCCAGGAGGACAGCAGGGAGGGTCGCAGCAGTGTCAGTGGAGGCAAACGTCCACTGAGTAAGAGCACCAGCTTTCCACTGCAGCCCTACCACCATGGCCAGTATTGGAGCTCGGTGTGCACGGAGGAAGTAGACAGTCAGCCATGTGAGTAGTAGCGGGGGAAAAAGTATCCTACTCCTGGCGTTGTGGCAATTTTTCGTCAAGCCGCCCGAGGAAGTAAACGTAGCCGAATGTCGACTATGTGGCCAGAAAGTCAAGCGTGGCCAGGGGGCCCATGTTGGGACTACAGCGTTGCGTCAGCATTATGCAAGCGTCGCCATTCGGTGGCCTGGTGGAAAACCGTGATAAAGATACGGCGGTTCTGCCTGCCCCAGCCCCCCGCTCCATCACCCCCGCTCCGTTACTTGCTCCGTCACCCGACGTCAATCGCCCTCTATCAGCCAGTCAAGGCTCCAACACCTCTGCTGAGGGGAGTTGTCGCTCGTTGGCATCTTCCGCTCGTTCAGATGCTCCTTCTCCTGCTACTCCTCTTCATCGGATTCCGTCAGCAGTCTTTCTTGGAATCCGTTTCCAAGAGACAACAGTTTGCGAGCAACGCACCCGACGGTGCAGAAGCTGAACGTCCTCCTGTCCAAGTTGCTGGTGCTGCAGTCCCTCCCTTTCCAAGTGGTGGACTCAGCACCTTTCCGAGAAATGATGGCTTGTGCCGAGCCGCGGTGGAGAGAGTGCCAAGCCGGCATTTCTTCACCAAAAAGGCAGTGCCAGCCCTGCATTCACATGTAGAAGAGATGGGTGGGCCATCAGTCTTTGAGCATGTCGGTCTCTGCCAAAGTGCACGGCTGCGCCGACGTGTGGAGCTGTAATTACGGTCAGGGACAGTACATGTCATTTACGGCCCACTGGGTGAACGTGGTGCCGGCACAGCCGCACCAGCAACTTGGACAGGTCACGGTGGGCCGCCGCTTTTGCCTCCACGTTGCACGTCCTTGGTCCAGCAAAGATGTCCGCCTCTACCACCTCTTCTTCCGCCGTGTCCTCAGCTGCCACCCCCATGCCAAGTCCCATTACCCGACCCGGCATATCACATGTGCAGGGCGCAACGGTGTCACGCTGTGCTGCACCTGGTATGCCTTGGCGAACGTATTCACACAGGGGAGGAACTTCTGAGTGTAATGAACAGAGAAATCGACAGATGGCTGTCTCCGCGCAAACTGAAAATCGGAAACCATGTTTGACCGACAACGGAAAGAACATGGTGTCTGCTCTGCGTCAAGGAAGGTTGTGCCATGCGCCATGCATGGCTCACGTGTTCAATCTGGTTGTCAAGCGGTTCCTAAAATCCTACCATCCCACTGCAAGACATCCTTAAAATGTCACGTAAACTTTGCATGCATTTCAGCCATTCCTACACCGCAAAGCACACCCTCCTTGAGCTGCAGCGGCAGAACGGAATTCCACAGCATCGCCTGATCTGCGACGTTGCAACAAGGTGGAATTCAACCCTACAATATGTTAGACCGCCTTTACGGAACAGCGAAAGGCCATCATCCACGATTTCCTGATGTTTACAAGCGGATAAAGGGGTACTCTCCCCTGTGTAACTTAGATGTCAGCCATTGGCAGCTCATGCGTGACACCTGCCGCTTGCTCAGGCCCTTTGAGGAGGCCACGCTAATTCGTGAGTCGGCAGGACTATGGGATGAACGATGTCATTCCTCTGTTGCACGTCCTGGAACAAATGCTGTTAACAATGGCTGGTCAGGGTGCGGTAGACGTGGCGCACAGATCTCAACGCCACATGACCCCTGTGGGGGCAGGACAGGAAGAAGAGGAGGAGGTAGAGGAGACATTGGTGCTCAGGAAATTATTGAGTGAAATGGGTGGTTTTTTTCCACTCAGCGACAGGAGTGGAGGAGCAGGAGCATCTGGTAGAGGAGGAGGAGACAGAGGACCCAGACGCACCGTGGCAGTAATGCTGTGGAGATGAGGCAGGGAGTCCCTCGCATTCCTTGGCACAAATGGCCCATAGCATGCTCGGTTGCTTTGCGTAGCGACAGCCAAATAATAACCATCAGACAGAGGGATGACTTTTGGCTGTCCACCTTTTGGACCCTCAGCCACTACCGTTCAAAAAATGGTAGCCTTTTTCATACCTGCTGAGAGGGAGGCCAAAATAACGTACTATAAAAACCACGCTATATAGTCAGTTGTCTCTGCCTTTCTGCGCCAACGTCCATCCTCAACACTGTGGGCCCTGTGCGCTCGCGTTCCGCTGCCATGGCAGCAGGGGAGGGTGGTAGGAGCAGTGGCAGCTCCACCAGCAAGCGGCTGCCTACTCAGTCTGCAGTCGATGATGATTAGCTTTCTTCACCAGCGCAGTGAGGAAACTACTAACCCAGCCGCAGCAGCAGCAGCATCAGGTGGACCAGGAGCAGGACCTCAAACAACAGGCTTGGGCCTACTTGGACAGCACCCTGCCAACCGAGGTAGACAATCCCCTTGACTACTGGGCAACGAACTTGACCCCTTTGGCCCCAACTAGCTGAATTTGCCCTTGAAAGGCTGTCATGCCCGGCCAGTAGCGTGGCATCAGAGCGCGTGTTTAGTGCGGCAGGAGGTATTGTAACTCCGCGGAGGACACGACTGTCCCACACCAAAAGTGTGGAGAGACTCACACGTTTGTGAAAATGAATCAGGCGTGGATTAGTCTGGGATTTCAAACCACCAGTTTGTCCATGACACAACTGACTAAATCCGCCATGAATCATGCCCCAAACATGTTATTATTTTTAACATAGGCCTCTGTATTGGCCTTCAATTTAAGCTGCTTACGCTTCGCCACTCTGCCATGGGTCCCTGTACGGCCTCCCATTGCTGCTGACTTCATCGCCAGACTCTGCCATGTGCCACTTTCAGGTCTCCTTACACTGTTGGTGGGTTTCCATTTTGTCATAGGGTGCTGTAATGGCCTTCCATTGCTGCTGCCTCCACCGCCCACCCTGCGCCAATGTGCCTCTGTCGTCTGCTCACGCTTGCGGCTGACGGCTTTCCGCTTTTTTAACCGAGGCCTGTGTTTGGCTTCCGAATACTGCTGCATCCACCGCCACCCCCTGCGCCATGTGTCTCTGTCCGTTGGTCTGCTCACGCTGCTGACTTTCAGGCCTTCCGCTTTTTAACCTAGGCCCTGTGTATGGCTTCAGAATAATGCTGCCTACACCGCCACCACTGCGCCATGTGCCTCTGTCGTCTGCTCACGCTGCCTGCCAGGTCCATACTGATTCATGGCCCCCCTGTACCGGCTCCTCATGAACGTGGTTCAGCGGGTTTGCATCACTTAACGGCAAATCGTTGACAAACGCTGGGACGTTCCCCGTGTTGTGCGCATTAAGCCAGACACCAAAGGGCAGCACAGACCTGTTATTACTCGCTCAAGCTGCATGGCTTGAACAAAACCAGTCTCTACCACAAATTGGAACCCAGACCTGCCCAGGGTCCTCGTAAGTAGATTGCCACGGAGGAGTAGAGTTCGTTATTGGAATTAACTGTGAGGGACTTTTAAACCTAGGCCTGTGTATGGCCTTTCAATTGAAGCTGCTTCTGCTCCGCCACTCTGCCATTGGACTCTTGATAGTCGACGACTGTGTCTCTGTCGACCTGTGTCTCTGTGATGTGTCTCTGTCGTACTGCTCACGCTGCTGACGGCTTTCCCGCTTTTTAAACCGAGGCCTGTGTTTGGCTTCCGAATACTGCTGCATCCACCGCCACCCTGCGCCATGTGTCTCTGTCGTCTGCTCACGCCTGCTGACGGCTTCCGCTTTTTAACCTAGGCCTGTGTATGGCTTCCGAATACTGCTGCCTCCACCGCCACCCTGCGCCATGTGTCTCTGTCGTCTGCTCACGCTGCTGACGGCTTCTTCCGCTTTTTAAACCTAGGCCTGTGTATGGCTTCCGAATACTGCCTGCCTCCACCGCCCACCCTGCGCCATGTGTCTCTGACGTCTGCTTCACGCATGCTGCTGACGGCTTCTTCCTGCTTTTTAACCTAGGCCTGTGTATGGCTTCCGAATACTGCTGCCTCCACCGCCACCACTGCGCCATGTGTCTCTGTCGTCTGCTCACTGCTGCTGACGGCTTCCGCTTTTTAACCTAGGCCTGTGTATGGCTTCCGAACACTGCTGCCTCCACCCGCCACCCTGCGCCATGTGTCTCTGTCATCTGCTCACAGCTGCTGACGGCTTTCCGCTTTTTAACCTAGGCCGTGTATGGCTTCCGAATACTGCTTGCCTCCACCGCCACCCTGCGCCATGTGTCTCTGTCGTCTGCTCACGGCTGCTGACGCATTCCGCTTTTTAACCTAGGCCTGTGTATGGCTTCCGAATACTGCTGCCTCCACCGCCCCCACCCCCCCGCGCGCCATGTGCCTCTGTCGTCTGCTCATTGCTGCTGACGGCTTCCGCTTTTTAAACCGAGGCCTGTGTTTGGGCTTCCGAATAGTGGCTGCATCCACCGCCCGCCCACTGCTGCTGCCAGGCCCTCGTAATCTGTCATGGGCCCTGTACCGCCTCCTCATGCTGCTGCCAGTCCAGAGTGTGTCAATGGGTTGTCCCTGTACGGCCTCCCATTGCTGCTGTCTCCATCGCCACACTCTGCCATGTGCCACTTTCAGGTCTCTTCACACTGCTGGTGGGTTCCATTTTGTCATAGGGTGCTGTTATGGCCTCCCATTGCTGCTGCCCTCCACCGCCACCCTGCGCCATGTGCCTGTCCGTCTGCTCACGCTCACGCTGCTGAATAACTGGCCTCCACCGCCACTCCGCTTTTTCAACCTACGGCCCGAGGGATGTGTATGGCTTCCGAATACTGCTGCCTCCGCCCGCCGCCTGCTGCTGCCAGGGACCGTAAATCCCCACCTGTACCCGCCTCATCATGTGCTGCCAAGGTCCAGGAGTCTGTCGTCTGCCTCACATTGCTTGCTGTCTCCATCGCCGACACTCTGCTGTGCCACTTTCGGCTTCCACTGCTTTTTAACATAGGGTTGCTGAGGCCTGTGTTTGCCACCCTGCGCTTGGCCTGTCCGAATACTTTTTAACCTAGGCTACTGCATCCACCGCCACCACAGCCCACTGCTGCGTCTGCCAGGCCCGTAATCTGTTCCGATGGGCCTCCGTATACTGCTGCATCAACCACCTCTGCTCAAGGCCCGTATGCTGGGCCTCCCTGCCAGGTCCAGAGTGTGTCATGGGTCCCTGTACGGCCTCCCATTGCTGCTGTCTCCATCGCCACACTCTGCCATGTGCCACTTTCAGGTCTCCTCACACTGCTGGTGGGTTTCCATTTTGTCATAGGGTGCTGTATGGCCTCCCATTGCTGCTGCCTCCACCGCCACACTGTGGTGGCTCCAAACTCTGGTTTTGGCCCCGTGACTGCCCAAATGAGTGAAGTGTGCGGTGATTCTAAGATCGACGCACTCATCTGCATGTCATTACTGACTGACAGTATTAGTTCTCTTCCCCTGCAGACTCCAAGGGCATTTAAATTAAAGGTACAGTGTTCTGCACTAATATAAAGGCTCTCTGAAGCCTAGAAACACCCTTTTTATAAGTTAAATTCGCAGCGAATATATTCGCCTCGAATCGAATTTATTCCGCAAATTTCGGCGAATCAGCCGAATCGAATTTTTTGAATAATTCACTCATCTCTACACACAACTATCGTGTTGCCTGTGGTTAGTGACAGAGTGTATGAGCCAGAAAGCATCTGTCTTCATCCAAGGTCTACACTTCCAACCATCAGATTGACTTTTCTTTCAATTATGCTGTATGGAATGCCTGTTATGGTAGTTTAACTAATGCTTTTCTCATCATGAAAGTAGGAACTCTAAAATCCAAGGCTAGGTTCCCGAGTGTTCCAAAGAGAATTCATTAAGCAGGCAGTGGTCAGGGTTGACATCATTCAAGGAAAGAAATTGTTATTCAGGGAGGGGTCAGCAACACTAGAGACAAGCAAGGCAAGGTAGACAGGAACACAAGTCAGGACAAGGCAGCTAAATGCTATGACATGCTGAGAGTTAAACTCTCAACCAGGGGCGGACTGACAACTCATGGGGCCCCCCGCAATAGGGGATCCTGGGGCCCCTGTGTCCTTGCCCAAACTCAAAAAAGCCTATGAAAAAGGTACCAGGGGCATCTCATGGGGCCGCCTACTGACCCCGGGCCCTCGGGCAGTGTCCGATTTTCCAAATGGCCAGTCTGCCCCTGCTCTCAACACCATAGCCAATCAGGTATGGGTAGCAACTGGGATGTTATCTGTGGAGGAATGCTGCTGCCTGACAGATGGTGGACTGCAGTCAATTGAACTCCTGAGAGTTAACAAGGAGCTTCAAGCCACTACCTATAAATAAATAAATGCTCATGGAGAGGAAAAAGATGTGGCTGAGGTCCCACCTTAGCATCAGTGGTAACGGTGACCATTAAGGGAATGAAAAGTACTAAGTGCCAGTATAGCAGTCCACCATGCTCCAAACATCCCAAGACAATCTCCTTAATTTTTTTTTTTTCACCTACCAAGGGATCACTGAGGGGTCCTTTTTTCTTCAGTGTCTTTGGAGAAGTTTATGTAAATATTGTGTTTAACTGGCAAATGGTTATAAGATTCTGCTGTATCTCCTTTTTCCCCCTGAAGAAGATTCAAATTGTGAATTGAAACACGTTGGAGCTATAGAAATTTTGGAGATATATTTCTCTCTAATACAGATGAAGCAGTTTCCTTTGTCAATGATATACCATGTTGTCATTTCATGTATGATGTTATTTTTGTTTAATCATGCTGCTGTGAAAGTCCCCTATTACCAAAAGTATGCCTATACATTTGTATTCATTAGGAATGTGCACCAGTATCTAAATAATCTGCGAAAATAGTGATGGTGATAGTATTGCTTCACCTTTAGCAGCTGCTTTACCGCTCACTGGAGCTGCTGTACTCCATCACTGGAGTGCTTGCATGGTGACAGGAATAAGTTGCCAGAGATCATCAGTGTAACAAATAAAAAAAATAAATAAAGCAAACATTTTATTTATTTTTATTTAAATATTTTATTTTATATACAGTGCTAAATACCATTCAGTTGGCATCTACATCTACATTAAAAAGCAGGAAGTGAGCCTGTAGTCCAAAAAAATTAGATCTCAGTGTTGGTCTAAGAAACAAATGGCGGTATATATACTGGAATTTCTATTTTTATACTAGTAATGGTGGCGATCACTGACTTATAGCTGGACTGCAGGACTGCGGTGGGCATTCTGACACTGGGTGGGAACTGACTAACTGCCACTGACATGCCAATGACACTAATACAGTGATCAGTGCTAATAAAAAGCACTGACACTGTACTAATGACACTGGGTAGGAAGGGGTTAGCATCTGCGGCGATCAAAGGGTTAACAGTGTGCTGTGTGTGTTTTACACGATGTGCTGTGTGTGTTTTACTAAGGAGAGATGCTGCTGTGTAGTTTTTCTGCATAGAGAAATACACAGCAGCATGCCCTTGCTGGCAGGAGAGAGACCTGTGTTGTTTACACACAGGTCTCTCCCCTACCAGTTCTACACGGTGATCGCCGGGTGCCGGTGGGGAATCTCTGGTTGGGACCTGGTGATTGACATCCCTAGCCACCAATGGCAGTGCGGGTAGGGCAGTGCACGTGCCCCCTGCCTGGAAATGCAAATCACACATATATATATATGTGATTTTGCACAGCCCTGCCGCCCTGTAGCAGTAGTTCTACTATAGGGCAGCGGGAAAGGGGATGAAAGGGTGTTTCAATGTGAGATCTGTGAAAATGCAGAATAGTCTTCCTTCCACAGGAACTGGTTGAAGCAGATTTGATTCAAAAAGGTTTGAATGCATTTCTAAAATAATAAATGACTAACTATATTTGAAATACAAATAGAATGTTGATTTAGAGCAATTTAACAACCTTTTTAACAGAGATGAACCATTGAAATAACTTTCAAGCTTGAGAGAACTCTTGCCAATATAATTGCTATTTCTATAGCTCAGGTTACATTAGTGTGGTGGTCAGTTGGAAGACTGCCTTCTTGCAGATAGGTACAAATCATTGGGGCCTGAGGTTACTTATCTGAGAGGCACAAATTGCTGATTGCTCAAGGAATCCTTAGCAAGGTGAGGAGCTGTGTATACGAAAGGTTGATCATTAACTTTCATAGGATTGTAATGCAGATTTCTTTCCCTTCCTCTGGATCAGAAAATGTTCTCTTTTATTTTTGCATTTCTGGGTAGGGGGCCCACACACGCCACCCTACCCGTACTGCTTTTGGCTGCTGGACATGTCAATCACCAGCTGACAGGAGAGAGACCTGTGTATAAACAACACAGGTCTCTCTCCTGTCAGCAAGGACATGCTGTCTTGTATTTCTCTGCACAGCAGAGAAATACAAAGCAGCATGTCTCCAGGTAGTGAAACACAAATGTACAATCCAAACGCACATGTTCCTGCGACTTTGAGCGCATACGTGAGTAGTAAACTCGCATGGTTCATGCAGGTGACATGCGTCGCCATAACACTGTTGGACGCTGCACCAATAGGACCACCATAGGTGTGTCATCATTGCAGCTCACTTGACAATAATAGACAAACCCCCACATCTCTAGGGAACAATTTTTATCTTCTGTCAGGGACATATATGCTGCTGATTGTTGTTTCCATAATACGGCTCTGCTTTCAGCTGACACTTTATTACAATCCGGGGAATACTATGATACACGTGACCACAATGTTTATATCCCGGGAATGCAGTTTATGCACATCTGATTATTGTTTTATGGTTTATTTATGTTCACAGTTTATAATGTTTCTGTTTACATTGATTTGAATGAATGGGGCGGGACCAGGCTAATTTTACTTCACTGTGATTGGTGGATGATTTTCTTAATTAGTTCTCCATTTTCTGTCACAGTTTGTCACATACCTGATGAAGAGGTCCTGCGAGACTTCGAAACGTTGCCTTGCTGTAACTATGTGATCGTTCATTAAAACATTTGGACCCATATTGGTGATCCCTCGGTGTGCTGGTGACATTCTCCCTTGCTGATTCAGGTAGTGAAACACACACAGCACATGATATAAAACACACACGGAACACAGTTAACCCTTTGATCACACCAGATGTTAACACCTTCCTGCCCAATGTCATTAGTACAGTGTCAGTGCTTTTTATTAGCACTGATCACTGTATTGGTGTCACTGGGGATGTCAGTGAC